GTTAGGGTTCCCCTCGTGTGGCACATGACTTTGTCCTAAGATATCTGGGCATTGCTTACACGCCTTTCCCAAAGCTTTGACAAATAATCACAATGAACCCAAACCCTGGTGATTATCAGGCAAACCGTTAAATATCATTAGAACAAGATGGACATGTTACATCCTCCCAGGACTTATGTGACCAGGGAGATCTTTGTCATCTGTATGTGAGCTCCGCCTGCTGGCCACAATGAAGCAAAGTGACCCTGGAGCAGTGTTTTAAAGAGAACCATCAATTCACAAAATGGGTGGCATAACTTTTAGAATAAATGGATTTTGTGGAAGTTGCATGGTGGTAATGACATACTATGGAAAGAGGTTATTTTTTCTTTTAAATTGTCTGGTGATACATTTGAAGAATGACTTCTAAATGGAACAAGAATAAAGAAAAGTTATTCTCATTCGTGTTTGTAACTGAACAGCCCAATTTAATCTTGAAAAGTATATTTTGGAAATGTGTGTTAAACAATCAATTTGGCATCCAAATATTACTCACACACAAAAAATTAGCAATGTGAGGCACAAGAAGACTTGAGAATCATTGGATTTATGGGGGAAAAAGCAGAATTGTAAGTTAAAGTATAATGTAGGGACAGATTCACTTTGAATCCTGGAGAGAATACATATGTTTTGTGTATTATTGTGAGAAGGTATGTGGCTTAGTTTTCATCTTGTGGAAAATATGAGAAAAAAACTATTTTAAGCAAGGAAAAATTCATTGTGGTTTATAGTTTTAGAAGTTTCAGATATGATGGCTGATGGACTCTACTCCTTCTGGGCATGTAGTGAGGTCAAACATGTGAACATCATGACGAAAGGCATGAAGAATAGAATTGCTTTTGGTGGCCAGAAAGCAGGGCATGAGCAACAGGAAGGGCCAAGGGCCAAGACGGACTCCTCCAAAACACAAACTCAGGGACTCACTTCCTTCAACAGGCTGTAAGTTCTTCAGTCCCACAACCTCCTAACAGTTATTCAATGTTCCTACCTAACAATGGAGTCAAACATTGGTGGGATCAGAGCATTCCTGTTCTAACTGTCTGGAAATTTGCTCACAGATACACTAGCTAATTCCTGTGTCTAGCCAGACAATCCAGTTGACAATCACACTTGACCATCCCAGAGGGTGCCCGTGAGAAACTGGTAGGTTAGGCCATTGTGCAGTGCAGAATGTCTGTTCTCAAAAGTGTTGTGAAATTGTACGCTTTATTTCAAATTCTAGATTCACTACTTCCCAACATGCATGCCAACTTGGGCAAGGTGACTCTCAGCTTCTTTGTCTCTAAATTGAGCATAATGACAGTACCTTCGGTGTAAGGTGGCTTTAAAATTAACAAGGAATTCAAATAAATTACAGGAACATACCCTACTTTAAGTCAACTATTCTGTTTTTGTGCTCATGTACATTCACATTTATATTTCCTCTATGAACAGACGGATTCTTATATGTTTATCCTAAAATGACAATGCTTATCCTACAGAGCTGGGCTTAAAGATAATTTTCAGGTTGTCTTTGTACCATATGTGTGTGCAATGTGTGTGTGTAAATATATATTTCAAATTTTGAATATGTATCTCTCACACACAAAGTAAAGTAATGTCTTTTACTACAGAAATGTTAGGATATTAGCAACATTCCTTTTGAACTAAAAATACAAAACTTAATTTTTATACTGTATTAAATCTTCTTTGCTTTGGTCAGGTGGCTGAACAAAATATTTGCTGAAAAGCTCAAAGCATGAATCTGAAATATTCAGGTCAAGATTTGATTTTTCTAACATGAAATATCTATAAATGTGTGAGAAGATTGAATTATCCAGAAAATGCATTTCTTATAATCCTTATGATATAAATAAGAGTAGGTTGTGCATTACAAATGAGCATATAATCAAAACAATGAGCAGGGAGTCTGACTTAACTTTGGAGAATGTTGCTCTTTTGTCATGTGTCCTCATGGAGAAGAGAGAATGGGAAAGAGAAAGGGGCCATGTTGAAACTGCTTTATTGCAACTGCTGAAGTTATGTTTTTGCATCCCTAGGGTTCTATTTTAAGATCTTCATTAAGCAAATCTAACTTAGCCTCGCATGCTAAAGTGGCCTCAAATGGCTTTTCTCATAGGATTCCCCTTTCTAAAATGTTTCTGTTGTTACACCCGGAGTAGTCCATTCATAACGCCATCTTATGAATAAGGACCACAGTTAGGCTTATTTGACTATTAAAGATTATGGTGCAACTTTTGATCATGTGCAAAATTTCATTTGTTTCAGACCAAAACAATTATTTTCACTGTCAACATCAGAGGGCAGGATGATGATATTATGAATGCTGAATATATTTATGCAACTCCATCTGAAGTAAGCAACATGAAACCTGCAAATTAGAAAAAGGTACCTGAGACTTTCTTCACCACCTGGTAATTTGCAAAGATGTGCTGATGGCTTAGACTGGAGAGAGGGACAGAAGTGTCCTATACAATTCATTCTGTACAGAGATTTCCCTGGGGAACTGGGAGGGAGAACCTGCTAGAATGTGTCTAGCATCCAAAAACTCAGGGAAGCAAGGGCTGGGGGCAAACACCGCCTACTTGGCAAGACAGGATGTCACCAGTTAAACTCCTTTATGGCTGTGAATTGAATACTGACTTACATGCCATCATCAGTTAATTTATACTGGGTGATTGGTTATACTGAGAAAAATTAAATTTTATAACAGGACTGGACCACAGGGTTATGATATAACACACAGTATTCCCCAAGAAAGCTGACTTTTAGGTAGATAATCAATATTCCTTTAGCATATGTTTGTCATAAATATTATATTGGGCATACAAATATTTTCAAATGGCCGTTTTCAAATTTATCTGGACATTGTGGATTTTTAGTTGTCAACCATATGAATTATTAATGCACACACTGCCTGATGATTTTTACTGAAGAGAGAAATGGCAAAAAAACAGTACCACATAGGCAGAGTTCCTCACTCCTCCACACCCACAACAGAATGTAGAATACCACAGACAAAATTTTACCTTAGGATTACCTTTATGTCTCACTTCTTTCTCACAACCAGGAGTCAGCACTGACCAAATAATATTGCGTAGATATTTTGGAAAGCAAAGTACAGCCTTGAAGAATTATTAACCAGACACTGTAATAAGAGCTGTAAGCCAACTTGGGAAGCCATACTTAGCTTCTGAAAACAAGTAAGTTACAAGTCTTAAAAAAGCTAAGGATTCTCTTAAGCTAAGCTACATGAAATTTGCATGTTTGTGAGTAAATACTGGTTAGAATGTAGCATCTTTAGTGTTTCAGCGTGGTATACAAAACTTCTCAAAAGAATGCAAGCAACTGCTTCCCTCAAAATAGCTTTCCCTCAAGAAACACCGGGAAAGTATCTCATGGCTTTGACTGGATTCTCCGGATGCCTTGGAATTTGCATACATGACCCAAAATAACCAGTTATGAAGTTCTAAAATCAGAATTGCATATGTAGAGATTTAAAACACAAGCACTCAAATGAAAACCACGATGTACGGAATGAAGACACTGTAACCTGAAAACATAAAACTTCTGAAGTAGCAGAAAGAATTTTCCTGAAATCAAGGGGGACAAAGATGAAAACAGGAAAAAGAAGGAAAGTGGAAGTTGAATCACGTGGGTGGACCAGACAGAGCAGGTCACATGGGCAGACCTGAGCCTCTCACATGGGAGGAGACGAGCAGCTCACACTTATTCCTAACTGAGCACCAGGAGGAGAGAGTGTTGCTGACGGACCCAGAAAGAATGGGTGAATTGTCAGATGCTAGACGAAAGGGGCTCACCAGGGGCCAAGGCAGAGCGTGTGCTGCACCAGGGTCAGGAACATGAGACTGCATCTCCGTCACTTGGTCCACGTGGGAGACCTCAAAACGCAGACACGGTGAAAAGTGACAGTATGTTTGAGCAAGGAAATGAGTTCTCAGACACAGGTAACTTTCGTAAAGATGGGCATGGAATGCGACAAGAATGTCAGAGAAGCCTATCACCTTCACGTGTGCATGATTAATGGAGGGATAATTATATAATCGAGCTCTCAAATTCCTAATCACATCAAGCAGAGGAAGGAACTGAAGGGACACAAAAATTGTTTTTTTCAATTTTGGCATTGAGGGGCATACAAAAAATAAGTTTAAATAAAAAGAAAATATGATCAGTAATAACACAGAGACTATATTTCAAGAGAGGAGAGGTGAATAAAAGAGAGAAGAAAAAAGAGAGAGAGAGATTAGCCATTTGTAAATGGCAGAAAAAATAGCAAGGACAAAAATGTGTTAGAAAAATGGATTTAGTTGAGTATTACCTCTCCACTAGGAAAAAACTAACCCAGAACTCAATTGTGTGTCGCTTTATCCATAGACAGTAAGGAAAGAAATTAAGCTAAGCTGAAAAAAAGCGACAGTGTTCAGGTAAAAATAGTCAAAATGAATAAAGCACACATTTGGTTTCTCATTTCAGAACACATACCTGGTAGATATTAATAATCGCACCTGAAGGCAGATAGCAATTAGAGTTCTTTCTCAAGGCTTGCAGTTTGCTGACTGACATTTTAATTTTTTTTTTTGCTAAAATGATACATTTTATTTTTGCCATTCAAAGAGGATGATTCTTTTTATTAAAAAAAAACTTAATAAATTAAAATTTAGAGAGTAAGTCATATACAAATTGTCACATCTGGGCTGATGTTTTCCTAATTGTAATAGACAAGTAGTGTTTTCAAATCGACCAGAAAATGGTGAGTGCTTGCTGAGAAATCTGGGTCAAGGTTAGGCACAACATGCCCAGTATCTTCTCCTCCTTCTCTCCTTAGCTGTCTCCCTCTCCTCCTTCTCTCCTTAGCTCTCTCCCTCTCCTCCTTCTCGCCTCCCCCTCCCCCTTCTCTCTCACCCCCACAAAGGCCTTGAAAGGAAAGCTTCAACACTCACTGTAAGCTCTTGGACCGTGTTTTTTGAACCCGTGTTCTCTGAAGCAGGCATGTATTGCTTGCACAGTTGTTGAATGATGTCAGACAATGGCTTCCTGAAAGAAACCAATAAGCAACTTGCTTTAAAATTGAAAGTGAAGTTGTGGAATCACAACAAACTTGTACAAATCGGAAGGAGACACAGGATCTGGACTGTTGCCTTACTCTGGGAGTGCTCACCTGCCTGTGTCTTCTCAACTTTCTAAATGACAGCTGGAGGAAGCCAGGCTCTGGCCACCAGTTGTGTGATCCATCGTGGAACTGGTTTTGCAGGTCAGGTGTACCTAACTGTTTACCTCCAGCACAATGTATTAGACCTCATAATCTAGAAGAATCTCCATAAACCAGAGTTTTACTTTCTGGCTGCTGAAATGCTCATTCCTGAGAAAGAGTGCATTCTGGGAGCTTTGGGGGTAGTCATGCATTCTGTATTTCTCCAACGCGACAGCTCTTAAATCACAGGGCTGAACTCAGGTTTCCACATTGCCCATACTCCAACAGGAAGAAGTAGAATACGGGGCGGGGGTGGGTGGGTGGTCACTCTTATCAAGTAGTTTCAAAGAAAAAACTAAATAAAAATAAACAAACTCACACACCAACAAAGAAACAAAAAATAAGCAATAGCCAAACATAGGAGTAATTAAGCGGGAAGACTCAGTGGTACTCAAGAGTTGTGTGTGTGTGTGTGTGTGGGGGGGGGGTGATGAGTTGTGTGTGTGTGTGTATGTGTACATCATGAGTTGTGTGTATGATGAGTTGTGTGTGTGTGTGATGAGTTGTGTGTGTGTGATGAGTTGTGTGTATATGTGATGAGTTGTGTGTATGTGTTTGTGTTTGTGATGAGTTGTGTGTGTGTATGTGTGTGTGTGATGAGTTGTGTGTGTGTATGTGTACGTCATGAGTTGTGTGTGTTGCCTATGTGTATGTGCAACTTGTCTTTTGGGGTGGGGTGTGGCATTAGTATACTCACATCCTCTAAGCTCGGATGAAGGTTTTCTGTCTTTCTGGAGAACCAGTCGAAAGCCTCAGAGCTAGAGCTTCGTAGCTGTCTCCTTCCAAAAGGTTTACCAGAACAGATGGCAAAGCAGCCGAAGATAGAGATAAGCCTGGTGGCAAAGAGAGGGGACGTGATTACAGGAGCTGCTTGCAGCTCACACGCAAGCCAGCGTTTCCTGTGCTAACCGTGCCTTCCTCCAGAGCATTTCCAGATCCTCTGGGTGGAGGAGGGATGTGAGCAAGGACCATGCACAGAATCTTGATGCAAACACGTTTTTCCGATTTGTGTACACTCTTAGTGTGAAGTACAAAAAGCTATTTACGACCAGTTTGAACACTCTTCCCCAAGAAATTTGCAAGTTGAGCTTAGAAGTTCAGAATGTACCCAGGGGAAGCTGAGAAATCAGCAGTCAGTGGACAGGGTGGGGCTCTGCTGCTGGCACGGGCTTCTAAGATTCTGAAAAGGTCTTTAGACATTTGATGGGGCCCAGAGCGAGCAAACGTGACCTTTACAGAGCATTGGACAGGTGATGGGCTGTGCTTTTCGCTGTCTTCTGGTGGCTTCAGCAGTGTTTGGTGCTGGGTCCTATTCCCAATCCAGGGAACTTGACTCAGGGTGAGTGACTTACTCAAGGCTACTTAATAAATATTTGAATTCCAATTTCCTTTTACTGTGTGAAAATCATCAGCCTTTTGATAATTTATGGGATCTCAGCACCTGGATGATATGGGCTCTACCTGAAAGAACTTCATCCATTTAAAGTCTTTGCTGTCTATTTTTAGACAGGAGCCTGATGCACAACAGTAGGACATGAGCAGATTGGACTCACCCAGCCTGTGATATCAGTTAGGTCTTTATACTTTTGACTTTACCAGTCTCATCTATTTATAACCCCGATTTAAAAGGTAGGTGGCCTTGAAATTCACAGTATTTAAAATGGTGTAGCATTCAACTTTTCGTTCAAGGTGATCACATTCACCTTGTAATTTTGCAAAATGGGAACCATGCTTTCCCAAGATTAAGATGCCGCTCCAGGAGAACTGCACACTTGGTTTTTGATAATTGGTCACTCCTGCCAGTAACTGCACTGACACAGGGAGTCTGTGGCGTGTTATCTCCAGCAGCTATCTCTCCTCGGGCAGGTTTTGCTGACTTAAGTGAGATGCGTGATGCAGACTGTATGTTCTGGGAATGGAGAGAAGAATGTGGGAGCTGGCAGGGGTGAGAAAGTTTAACCAAGCAGATTGAGTCAGCTGGGCATGGAAACAAATGTTGCCTTGAACAGTTTTATCGAAGGTTCACCTTGAGTTTGTGGCTTTGGTAAGCATGACTCGAGAAAAACACTGAAGCACTCCGATTAAAATGAAACCTAGCTGTTGATAAAGAAAAGTGAAAAGATGATCACATAGTCTCAAATAATGCATCGTCCCCATTTAGCATGTACACAGATGCTGTGGGGTGCTATCTGGAGGAGCAGGCGTAAGAGGCAGAACACAGATGCATTCCGTCATCTTCCTCGAAATACTCCCTCGACTTAGGCTGTGCATTGGCAATATTTGAAACAATCGTGACAGTATAAACAAATAAATCAGACAATTAGACAATTTACAATTCTACCACATAGGAGCCACTTAAAACTTAGAATTTCTTAGGAAAAAACATATTATAGTGCAGTTAATAGACACTAATAAACAAAACTACAGTACATATAATAATGCATATTCTAAACCATTTGGTGATACACAACTTTGTCCCCGACTTATCTTGGAGTGCTATGCTTGTATTGTGACAGCAGGTGCTTTCCTAATATAAAAATTCACTTACAAATGCAATGTCAATGTCACTCAGAAAAACTTAATATATTTAGTGTCTGGACTTTATTGGTTGTGGTAAAATTATAATAACATAATAATAATTTTCTACTTTTTGGCATTATTGAGATTGATATAATCGACAAAAAATGTATATGTTTGGGATGTGCATTATGTTTTTTTAAAAGTATTTCTTTTACTTTTTGAAATTATAATAGAATAGCATTATTTTCCCCTCCCCTTTCCTGCTTCCAATCTCTCCCATATACCCCTCTCTTCTCTTTTTCAAATCCATGGCCTCTTTCTTGTTTTTTACACATAAATACAGCCTGCTCAGTCTGTATAATGTTATTTGTATGTAAATGTTTTCAGGGCTGACCATTTGATATTGGATAACCAATTAATGAGCTCTTCCCTTCAGAAGACTATTTTGTAGTTGCCTGTAGATCTTTGTGAAGGGTTGAGGCCTCCTGGGTATTCCCCCATCCATGATATCACATCTGTTGTTGTCCTTGTTCAGCTCACATTTAGGCAGTTATGTTGAAACTCTATCAGTGGCTTCTGACATTCCTAGGAGATACAATCTCACAGCAAATTCCCTGTTTCTCCATCTCCTACAATCTCCCTGCCCCTTCTTCTGCAGCGATCCCCGAGCCTTAGGTGCAGGAGCTATATCATGGATGTATCCATTGGGACTGGGCCCCATAGCTCAGCATTTTGATTGTTGTGGTTTTCTGTAATGGTCTTCATCTGTCACATAGATGTTTCCTTGATGAGAGGTGAAGACTACACCTGTCAGTGGGTATAAGTACAAATATGTAGGATGTGGTTAGGGATTATGTTTTGACATACGTTTTTGACAGTGTTGCCTAGTCAAGCTAATTATCACACCCATCACTCATATATTTACTCTTTTGTATATACTTTAAGATCTGCTCTCGTAGTACTCGCCATATATCCATGTATTATTACAAACTACAGTCAACTTGCATGCTTGAATTCCAGAGAGCACTCCCAGGTTAGAACTGAAAGTTTATACCACCTACCCTCTTCTGTCACCCCACTATTCCCAGCAGTGACTCTGCTTTTTCTTTGTCTGCCATTTTAAGATGGTAGTGTGAGTGAGATGACGAAGTATTTGTCTTTCTGTGTCTGACTTATTGCATTTAGCACAATGATCCCCAGGTTCACTCAGGTTGCCACAAATGGCAGAAGTTCCTCATTTTAAAGGTCAAATAGTATCCTGTTGTGCTGCACATCACATTTTCTTTAACCATTCATCCATCCATGAGCATTTCAATTGACTCATTATCCCATTTTATGTAGAAGTTCAGACACTTATTTGAGATGAATAGTGTTGGTTTTGGGGGGTACATACTCAGAAATGGGGTTGCTGGGTCGTGTAGTAGTTCTATTTTAATTTTTGAGGAAACGACACATAATTGTCATAATGCGGGTACTAATTTACATCCCCACCAAAACGTGTGTTTGATTTTGCCACACGCTTACTTCAACTGTCACTGCTTGACTTTGACAACAACTAACCTAAGATATGCTTTGTAGTTCATTGTGGTAGTGATTTGCATTTCTCTAATGGTTAAGCGTGTTGGGTATCTTTTCCTATACCTGCCGCGTCTGCAGCGCCCACTACATCCATTGTGTTTACTGCACCTGCTGCGCCTGCTGCGCCTGCTGCGCCTGCTGCGCCTGCTGCACCTGCTGCGCCTGCTGCACCTGCTGCGCCTGCTGTGCCCGCTGCGCCTGCTGTGCCTGCTGCACCTGCTGCACCTGCTGCGCCTGCTGCGCCTGCTGTGCCCGCTGCGCCTGCTGTGCCCGCTGCGCCTGCTGTGCCTGCTGCGCCTGCTGTGCCTGCTGCACCTGCTGCCCCTGCTGTGCCTGCTTCCTTTGTGTCTCTCATGGGCCTGCAGCTCACCAGTTAGGAGAAACTAGTGGCCAGTGAACCCCAGAGATCCATTCCTCTTTGCCTTTGCAGTGTTGGAATTAAAGTGCATGCCACCACATCTGGCATACTATGTTGGTTCTGGCCACCACATCTGGCATACTATGTGGGTTCTAGCCACCACATCTGGCATACTATGTGGGTTCTGGCCACTACATCTGTCATTCTATGTGGGTTCTGGCCACTACATCTGGCATTCTATGTGGGTTCTGGTCACCACATCTGGCATTCTATGTGGGTTCTGGTCACCACATCTGGCATTCTATGTGCGTTCTGGGGATCAAATACGGGTCTTTGTGTTTGCAAGGCAAGACCTTTAGCTGAGCCACCCCCTCAGTCATCTTTGTTTGTCTTTTATGACAGGATGCCATGTAGCTCAGACTGACCTTGATGTTGCCGATGCAGCTGAAAGATGACCTTGAACTCTTGTTCCTCCTGCTTCCACCTCCCAAATCCTAGGAGTTTCCAGGGATGGGCCACCATGCCCAGGCTTTGTTTTCTTTCCTGAGGACAATGTTTACTCAGACTCTTTGCTCATTTATAATTGGGTTACTTGCATCACTTGCATGGTTTTTGCTTTTTGTTTGTCTATTTTTTTGTTTTTTGAGACAGGGTTTTTCTGTGTAGCTTTGGAGCTTTCCCTGGAACTCACTCTGTAGCCCAGGCTGGCCTCGAACTCACAGGAATTCACCTGGCTCTGCCTCCCCAGTGCTGGGATTAAAGGCATGCACCAGCACCACCCAGCTGGTTTTTGCTTTTACTATCCAGTTTAATGAGTTCCTTATATATTCTAAATATCAGTCTTTTATTAAATAAAGAATTTGCAGACATATCTCCAATTTTGTGGGTTGCCTTTCCATGTTGTTTGTTTTTCTTTTGCTTGGCTAACATTATAGTTTGGTATAGTTCTACTTATTCATCTTGGCTTTTGTTTTCTGCACTTTTGATGCCGTATCCAAAAACCCATTGCTCTTCCCAATGTTGGGAGTGCCCCACGGTGTGGTGTTCTTTTCTAGTTATTTTATAAGTGTAGCTCTTATGCTTATGTATTTATTTGTCTCAGTTGCCATCTGTGTAAAGAGCAAGACAAAGAGTCCTTATTTTCCCATGTGTTTATTCTGTTTTCCCAGCACCATTCACTGACAAGGCTAATCTTTGTTCATGTGGGCAGTCTTGGCACTCTTTTGAAGACTTAGTTAGCTGACTGAGCATGGGTTCAATGCCTTCCTTCCCACTGGTAATATGTGTCTGCGCTATATCATTGAAGTGACACAGTGTTATATTCCCCACTCCTTCCTGTCTATTCGGGTTATTTTGTGGCTCCATGCGCATTTTACTATTACTTCTCTATCTGTGAAAAAAAATGCTACTGAAATATTGATAGGGAGTATGATTTTTTGGAACTTTTTCTTTTGATTTAAAGAGTAGGTTGTTGGTGGTATTGTGTTCCCCAAAATATTTTGCACCCTAATAAACTTATCTGGGGTCAGAGAACAGACAGCCACTAGATACAAAGGCTATAAAATGGTGGCACTCACACCTTTAATCCTAGCACTCCAGAGGTAGAAATTCCTCTGGATCTCTGTGAGTTCAAGACCACATTGGAAACGGCCAGGCATGGTGACACACGCTTTTAATCCCAGAAAGCGAGCCTTTAATCCCAGGGAGTGATGGTAGGCATGAAGACTAGAAACTAGAAACATTTGGCTGATTAAACTTTCAGGCTTCGAGTAGCAGTTCAGCTGAGAGCCATTGGGATGAGGACACAGAAGCTTCCAGTCTGAGGAAACAGGATCGGCTGAGGTATTGGCAAGGTGAGGTGGCTGTGGCTTGTTCTGTCTCTCTGATCATCCAGCATTCAACCCAATAACTGGCCTCAGATTTGATTTTATTAATAAGACCTTCTAAGATTTGTGCTACAGTAGGTATTTTCATTTATTTGTTACTTCTTCAGTTTTTCAATGAATGGTGATAGTTTTCAGTAATACAACATTGAATGATTACACAGGGTCTTTTAAATCAGCACGAAAAGCGATGGGTTTCATTACGCCATTCCCAGCTATCCTTTGTTCTTGTCGACATTCTGCCCCAATATCCTTCTCCCATCCCCTTCCATGGATTTCCTTTACCTGTAACCCTCTTCTGCTTTCATATCACGGATATTGTGTTATTCTCTCCGTTCCTCCCCCACTCCCTTGAGATTTCTTTGTTTGCTTTCTTGTGTTATGTCCCAAACTCCCAGTATACACATATGTAAAAATTAAAGTCTAGGATCAGCATCTGAGAGAAAACATATGATGTTTGTCTTTTTGAGTCTGGCTTATTTCATTTAATATAATAATTTCTACTTTCAGCTGTTTTCCTGCAGATCTCCTGTTTCCATTTTCACAGCTGAAAAGCATTCCATTGTGTACATGTGCATTGTCCTCTCCTTTCTTCTGCTGATGGATGTTTAGGCTGGCT